TAAAAGATTCACATGAGTATTTTTTTTACATTTAGTAAAATATAATGGTCCTACAACCTCTGTTATCATTTCACCATCTTTAAAAAAATTATCTAGACCGAAAACGTTAATTGAAATATTATTCATCGATTCAAATTTTGATATATCTGTCAGTTTAACAGGAAAATCTATACCTTCGAAATTGAGCAGTGTCGAATAATCTGGATACGAAGATACACGCTGAGGGTTGCCAGTAGCAGCAAAAATAGCTGCATTGCCTGCATAAGCGAAGCACTTCTCATCTTGATTTTGAATATTCAAAACAGCTTTTCTGTTTTCAATCTGCTTGGGTAGTTTTATGAAGGACGAGCCTGAGAGAGGGCTGTACTTGTTGATATTTACTTCCAGAAATGCGATTTGTTGCAAAATCCATCCTTGAAATATTTCAATATTAGTTTGGGAATTTCTAATTTGATAGTTAACTTACCTGAGTCCTTTTCCTGTATAGCTGATGTCTTTGACATAATATCCGTTTTGAAGTCTTCATAAATTTCTTCTAAATTGGTGGATTGAGTTATAATTCTATTCTTCGTATTGAAAGATTTCAAATCAGAGACATTTTTCTCAGGTATGATGTATACCGAGAACAATTCGAAGTGTAATTTCAGTGCTCTGAATTTTTCAACGTATTCGGTCAAAATGGAAAGAACATTATTTTTTATATCATAAAAAAAATCATCATGATCAATATGATGATGTTTTGTAGAGAACTTATAGCTTGAAATTCGACATTTGAATGCACTACTAATTCGTTCTATACCATCAGCTCGTACTTCCAGAACATTTCTTCTTCTCTGCCCTAACTGTTCATTTCCAATCGTTGGATTCATTTCAAGTTTCGAAGACATCTTCAGTTTTTTGGATGATTCCCTCATATTCTCTTCAACATGTTTGCTCTCCCTTAAGTGGCGTAATAAACTTTTTCTTGCCGAAAAGTTTTTTCCACATTGCGAGCACTGCATGTTTTGGTGTACTTGACTGATCAAAGTGAACGAATGAAACTGGAACTATTACTTAGTCCTTGATATTGTGTAAACGGTATTTAAAGCCCAATCTGATTGAATATGGGGTGGGGGTTGATGTAAATCCAACGGGCTATTATTTCCTCGTAGGCGACTTATTTATTTCCCGATTATATTCTCTAGAGAATAATACTATTCTTGTGGGAATGGAATGAGGTTACATCAAAAGCCCACCTTATTGGTTGTCTAAAAATAAATCAGTTGGATCGCGGTAGACAAGATTTGAATCGAACCTGCTCCTCGGAACCTGTTTATACTGGTTCATACTAGAAAAGGCAGGTGTTCCAATTTGAATATTTTATAATCCTCTCGAATGTTGATTTGTTTCGAAATCACATTGAAACAACTTCTCAAAACGACTTCTCCAAACGAGTTACCAGTTTTTATATAATACCGGATACAAGACAAGATTCAGTCGAGCTAACTTCGAGGTCGTTATTTTCTCACAGAGAATCGCGACCTTCTAAGAACAAGTCATCAAATTATGTTTTTCATGTCACCACCTGGTACGAGGCGAAATTTAATTTTAATGTGTTGCTTTTTGAATAATTTATAATTCCCTGGCCTCGAATGGTGAGACAAGTTTTTCAATGTTGATTTGTTTCGCAATCATATCGAAACAACTTCTCGAAACGACTTTTCCAAACGAGTTACCAGTTTTTATATAATACCGGATACGAGACACGTTCCATTCGAATTCGAGGTCGTTATTTTATTACAGGTAATCGCAACATTTCATTTCACCAACAGGCACGAGGCGAGTTTTTAATGAGATAGTTGAGGTAATTATTTAAATTAATTTGTTTTGCAATCACGTGAAACAACTTCTCAAATCCACTTATCTCCAAACGAGTTACCAAGTAGAGGACACTTGCCTGTCGAGGTGAATTCGAGCCCGTTATTTCCTCACAGAACAACTCATCAAATTGCGTTTTTATTTCATCCACTCTTCCTACTCGGTATTTACTAGATATCGAGCTTCTAGCAGAATCAATTATAAGTTCAGAATATTTTCATTACTATGAACTAAAAGATATTTCCATTTATCTTTTTGTGTGTTCCAAACAATGTCAAAGTATCACTTTCGAAAAGAAAACGATGCATTTTTAAATTCAGAACATTTTCATTAATATGAACTAATGAAATATTTTTATGTATATTCTAGTATGTATCTTCTTGTATGTATGTGCGAAAACCAATCAGTATTAAAGAATACCTTTGGAAAAGTAAATAATGAATGTTTGTCGGTATATCTATAGTTTCAACCAAAATGAGCTCTCAATCTAGAATAATGATAAGGATTGGAAAATCAAGGAATTGAGAAAAAATGTGACTCAAAATTGATCTGAAATATCACGGCTTTAGCACAAAAAACTCTGTTTTACTGTGTTCGATGAATCAATGAGGTACTTTGTATGCCCACCATTTTATTTCACCAAATCTCATATTCTGTGACAAATTTCGAGCACCACAAGTCTAATAGATTAGCATTACATATGAGAAAATCAAATGGCTACAATCCGAATAATTACAAATTTTTTGCTGTTATATGTTACAGCCGTAGAAAAAGTATATTGAATAACTCGTACAAAATGATAACTCCCTACTCAAATGATTTAAGTGCATTCATTGAGTCTCTCGTAATTTTCTTGCAGTTTATCAAACGATTTGAAGAAAAGAGTTCTGGTTGTATCATTTATATTTTTCACAATGAAGTAGATTAATAAATCTAGAATAATTGAACATATTTCTTTGAATTTCAACAAACTTATCAATATTAACTTTCTAATATGTTCTGGTTCATACAGATAGACTACTTCACTGACAAATACGTTCTATTCAAGAAAAACATAGATATAGAAGACCTAAATATGGTTAACTTCATTATTGCTAGAAATCAAGTTACAACCCTAATTCATGTATCACAAATACTGAAGCAAAAATTTTAATTCGATCAAATAATGGGTAATGATTTATTAATACATACTAACCATTATTTAAGAGTTGAGATAATCCACAGATATTGGAATAATTTCCGGTTATAATGATCAGTTTGAGAAATCGTAACATATTGCCCTTGAGAAGAGAATGGTTAAAAACCGCTTTGTACGGTGAAGACAAGTTCCACTACCACTCTACCGCAGAAAACATATTTAAAGAGGGTTTTGCGATCACATCTTCAATTCGTTTCAACACCGCCTGAAATTATAATCATCATGAGTAGTTTCGAATCCATGTCACTCGAAGAGATGGCTGAGATGAACTGTGACAGGAGCATCAGCGAGATCATCCACATATTGGATGATAATACGACATCACAAGAAGGTATGTATCATGTGTTTATTTACTTTTTCACCACTGCATCAATTCGGTGGTATATCTGTATTAGTCATAAGTTTTTGCTGCCTCGAACTGTATGAACTCCTTGTTATGAAACCCCGTGTTTCGGTAAACAATAAAGATTCTATTCTATTCTATTCTACATCACAAGAAGCTCCCTCGCAGCCAAGGACAACGATGACCCCGGCGACTCCTACACAGTTCACCAGCCAACCACCCATTTTCACCACGACCAGCCAACCCGCTATGTTCACCACGACCACCCAACCAGCCATGTTCACCGCGACCACCCAACCAGCTTATTACACAACGTCCACCCAGCCAGCTGCCATATCCACCAGACCCAACGCCACCCAGCCAGCTGTCACCCAACCAATGTCCAGAACCACCAGAGCCAACACAACCAGGGTTACAAGACCAAGCGACGTCCTCGGAGATCTAGATAGAAATATGGATGATATTCTCCGAGGCTGCGTCGCAAAGCAGAAGGAGGAACTGGAAAGGGAGGCAGCGGACTGGCGAAAGGAGGTCCTGACAAATGCGTCCGGTAGGCTGACTATCTTAAAATCCCAGAGAATGAAGATGTCTAAAAGGATAGCCCACTTCAAGAATTTTGTCAGCCTCCTTGTTGAGGATATGGGTCGGGTGGAGAATGACATAAAAAATGTTGAAAGTTTAGTAAAAATACTCAAATAAATATTTTTACATTACCACTACTATTTTTATTTCACTAGGTATCCATATAATTTGAAAATATCTACAATGAATTTATTCAGAAAATACCTATTTGAAAAACTTTGTGAGTCTTCTAGTCAAAAGATAATAATAAATGTGAGAGCATCTCACATTAGCTATATATTACTTATTTTTTTATTCTCCATAAAAATTCAGTTAAATAGTCGGTCCAATTTACTGATGGTCGTCTGGAAATTATAAGCCTGGAGGCATGAGGCGATTCGACGACCATGCTATTAAATTTACATTTTAATTAGCCTAGCTCGAGAACACTCTTCTGTATAATCTGTTGGGTATTTATTGGAATTTAAATCATGCAAAACATATTTCCAGTCATTACTCATTTACATCGACTACTAGCGTTATTTGTTTAGCGTTTTGTTCTCGCGTAACTTATTTGTTATGATATTTGATGTGTTCTCATTATTATTATTATTATTATTATTATTATTATTAGTTGAATTCATTTTAATTCCAGTCACGACTCATCATTATTATTATTATTATTATTACACTATTAGTCGAGAAATAATTAATCTAGGAAATATGTTTTGGATTCAGGACCTTGAATCAAGACGACACTTTCGTTCTATACAAATAAATCTATGCGCACTCGAAGAATTGTAAACTAGGAACGGTCCATGTCGCCTTGATAACCCAACAGATTCAAATCTTGTATCGTCTCTTATACTGAAAACCCTGTAGTATCTGTCGGCGAGATGTAAGGTAGAAATGTGATTTTCTTTTTCAGAATAAGTTATAAAATATATTTTTGTAGGTACATTGGTAACGTACTGATATTTATCCAGTTCACTTGGTATTATGGACTATTCTCGACTATTCTAGAATGAAACGCAATCATTTTCAATAGATTTTATTGAAGATATCTAACAAAATACTCATAGATAATAGGGAACACAAGACATGTAATAAATCCACTTTAAAATTCACTGATCTCACACAGCAATCTTTTGGTTCTTCATTCTTTGTCCCTTCTTGTGGCTTGTATAGAATATCCTTTATGAGATTGGCATAGGGGCAAATCTTTGAATACTTCAAGTGGTCCTCAATAGGAATATCTTCATGATTCCACATGTGGATTTCAATCCCACATTGAAAACATTCCACAATATCATCCTTGCCTTTGAAATAAAATCCTGCATTAGCCAGTTCTATAGGTTTTTGATTTCCAGTCCAATTTCTATATGAAAGTAGTCGCTTATCGAATGAATTATACCAAGATCTTGGGATCGACAAATCTTTCATACACGAAAAATCTTCGATACACATTATCAATACGTTTGAAGTCGATATGACTAGTTTCAATGTATAACTGATGGAAAAATTGAATTTGTTGTTACAACTATATTTATTCGAAATGGGGGGTGCGTTACAAAACTCTCATAGCAAGTGGAGGTCTGGGGGGTGTCGTTACAGAACTCTCATAGCAGGTAGAGGTCTGGGGGGTGTCGTTACAGAACTCTCATAGCAGGTAGAGGTGTGGGAGGTAGCGTCACAGAACTCTCATAGGATTTGGGGCGTTCGTGGGGGGTGCCGTTACAGAACTCTCATAGGGGGTTGGGTGGGGGGTGCCGTTACAGAACTCTCATAGGGGGTTGGGTGGGGGGTGCCTAGGGTGGGGGGTGCCGTTACAGCCCTCTCATTTATCCCAGCACTCGCTATCTCGGTATTTTCCCAATCTGGCGTAATCCGGTACCGCTGGTGTGAACTGCCAACACTCCTCCAGACTTTTCCCACGGGCTCAGTAATTTTCTACTTTATACCTTTTCCGTCTATTTTTTCTTCTTTTTCAAAGTCTCTCCTCATCTGTGTACCATCTCCGTGACAACCTCCTTCCTTTTTCATTCCACTTTCCCTACCTATTATTCTGATCTATCAATTGATTAAACATATTCTTGAACGGTGTTTGACAATTCCAGAACATTGAATAATATAAATATACAAACAACTAAACTTTAAGCCGTTGCAACGTACACAACAGGCAGAACAAGAAACTTTGACTTCGACTATGTTTACTTTGTAACTTTGCATTCTAGCTTCTTGAATGCCTATTCAAGAAGTATATATGACAGCTCATTATAATTATGTTGGTGGAGTACTATACTTTTTCATATCCACCAGAAACTTCGATTCAAACAATCAAGAGCCGGTAAACCGGCGTGTTCGCCAAAACTTCGAATTTATCAATCTTGATAATAAGTCGTTTATACATCTTATAGGTAGACATCGTCTAGTGTTTCCTGAATCAAAAGAACGCTCACAACAGGGAGAGCAAGAAACTTCGACTTCGACTATGTTTCCACTGTAACTTCGCATTCTTGCATCTGACATGCCTACAGTAATTGCAGATACGATCGCACTGACCATATAGTACGACTCCGAAGGACATACAACGAGAACAATAGGCAAGTGAAGATACTTCGACCACATCAGTCCGCATACCGTATCTCAGTATTCTATCATCTCACATGGATACCTCTGGAGCATATGAATTCGCAACTATTATATAAGACGACATCGAAGCAGGTGTAATGCACACAACAGGCAGAACAAGAAACTTCGACCCCGACTATGCTAACACTGTAACTCCGTATTCCAGCATCTGACATGCCTACAGCTATAGCAGATACGATCGCACTGACCATATAAGACGACTTCGTGGGACATATAACGAGAACAACTGACAAGTGGAGATACTTCGACATCCGTCTGCACACTGTATCTCTGTATTGTAACATTCCACATGAATCCCTTTGTAGCATGGTAGTTCGCAACGATCATATGAGACGACTTCAAAACGGGTATAACGCACACAACAGGCAGAACAAGAAACTTCGACTTCGACTATGTCTACACTGTAACTCCGCAATCTAGCATCTGACATGCCTACTTGCCTACAGTTATAGCAGATGCGATCGCACTGACCATATAGTACGACTTCGAAGGACATACAACGGGAACAATAGGCAAGTGAAGATACTTCGACCACATCAGTCCGCATACCGTATCTCTGTATTCTGTCAACTCACATGAAAACCTCTGGAGCATATGAGTTCGCAACTATTATATAAGACGACATCAAAACGGGTATAAAGCACACAACAGGCAGAACAAGAAACTTCGACTTCGACTTATGTCCACACTGTAACTTCGCATTCTAGCATCTGACATGCCTACAGTTATAGCAGATGCGATCGCACTGACCGTATGAGACGACTTTGAAGGACTTATAACGAGAACAATAGACAAATAAAGATACTTCGACAACATCATTACGCACACTGTATCTCTGTATTCTATCATCTCACATGGATACCTTTGGAGCATATCAGTTCGCAACGATCATTTGAGACGACATCAAAACGGAAATAACGCATAAAACAGGGAGAACAAGAAACTTCGACTATGTTTACACTGTGGCTCTGAATTCTAACATCTGACATGCCTACAGTTGAAACCGAAACGATCGCTTTGACCATATAGAAAGACTCCGAAGGACATATAACAAGATCAATAGGCAAGTGAGGATACTTTGACAACATCAGTCTGCACACTGTATCTCTGTATTTTATCATCTTACATAGATACCTCTGGAGCATATCAGTTCGGATCGATCATATGAGACGACATCAAAACGAGTTTAACGCACACAACAGGCAGAACAAGAAACATCGACTTCGACTATATTCACACTGTAACTTTGCATTCTAGCATCTCACATGCCTACAGTTATAGCATCTCACATGAATATCTTTGGAGCATATCAGTTTGCAACGATCATTTGAGATGACATCGAAACGGAAATAACGCATAAAACAGGGAGAACAAGAAACTTCGACTATGTTTACACTGTGGCTCTGAATTCTAGCATCTGACATGGCTACAGTTGAAACCGATACGATCGCATTGACCATATAGAAAGACTCCGAAGGACAAATAACAAGATCAATAGGCAAGTGAGGATACTTTGACGACATCAGTCTGCACACTGTATCTCTGTATTTTATCATCTCACATAGATACCTCTGGAGCATATCAGTTCGAATCGAACATATGAGACGACATCAAAATTGGTATAACGCACACAACAGGCAGAACAAGAAACTTCGACTTCGACTATATTTACACTGTAACTTCGCATTCTAGCATCTGACATGCCTACAGTTATAGCAGATACGATCGCACTGACCATATAGGACGACTTCAGAGGACATATAACAAGAACAATAGGCAAGTGAAGATACTTTGACAACATCAGTCTGCACACTGTATCTCTGTATTCTATCATCTCACACCTCTGGAGCATATTAGTTCGCAACGATCATATGAGACGACTTCGGAGCGGGTATACCGTACACAACAGGCATAACAGAAAACTTCGACTTCGACTATGTTTACTTTGAAACTTTGCATTCTAGCTTCTTGAATGCCCATTCGAGAAGAATATATGACAGCTCATTATATGTGAGTGGAGTACTATACTTTTTCATATCCACCAAAAACTTCGATTCCAACAATCAAGAGTCGGTTAACCGGCGTGTTCGCCAAAACTTCGAATTTATCAATCTTGATAATAAGTCGGTTATACATCTTATAGGTAGACATTGTCTAGTGTTTCCTGAATCTAAATAACGCTTACAACAGAGAGAGTAAGAAACTTCGACTTCGACTATGTTTACACTGTAACTTCGCATTCTTGCATCTGATATGCCTACAGTTATAGCAGATGCGATCGCACTGACCATATAGTACGACTTCGAAGGACATACAACGAGAACAATAGGCAAGTGAAGATACTTCGACCACATCAGTCCGCATACCGTCTCTCTGTATTCTATCATCTCACATGGATACCTCTGGAGCATATGAGTTCGCAACTATCACATAAGACGACATCAAAGCAGGTTTAACGCACACATTAGGCAAAACAAGAAACTTCGACCCCGACTATGCTGACACTGTGACTCCGCATTCTAGCATCTGACATGCCTACAGCTATGGCAGATACGATCGCACTGACCATATAAGACGACTTCGTGGGACATATAACGAGAACAACTGACAAGTGAAGATACTTCGACAACCGTCTGCACACTGTATCTCTGTATTGTAACATTTCACATGAATACCTTTGTAGCATGGTAGTTCGCAACGATGATAAGAGACGACATCAAAACGAGTATAACGCACACAACAGGCAGAACAAGAAACTTCGACTTCGACTATGTCTACACTGTAACTTAGCATTCTAGCATCTGACATGCCTACAGTTATAGCAGATGCGATCGCACTGACCATATGAGACGACTTTGAAGGACTTATAACGAGAACAATAGGCAAATAAGGATACTTCGACAACATCATTCCGCAAACTGTATCTCTGTATTATATCATCTCACATAGATACCTTCGGAGCATATGAGTTCGCAACTATTATATAAGGCGACATCGAAGCGGGTATGACGCACACAATAGGCAGAATAAGAAACTTCGACTTCGACTTTGTCTACACTGTAACTTCGCATTCTAGCATCTGACATGCCTACAGTTATAGAAGATGCGATCGCACTGACCATATAGGACGACTTTGAAGGACTTATAACGAGAACAATAGGCAAATGAAGATACTTCGACAACATCAGTCCGCACACTGTACCTCTGTATTCTATCATCTCACATGGATACCTTTGGAGCATATCAGTTCGCAACGATCATTCGAGAAGACATCAAAAAGGAAATAACGCATAAAACAGGGAGAACAAGAAACTTCGAATATGTTTACACTGTGGCTCTGAATTCTAGCATCTGACATGCCTACAGTTAAAACCGATACGATCGCTTTGACCATATAGAAAGACTCCGAAGGACATATAACAAGATCAATAGGCAAGTGAGGATACTTTGACAACATCAGTCTGCACACTGTATCTCTGTATTTTATCATCTTACATAGATACCTCTGGAGCATATCAGTTCGAGTCGATCATAAGAGACGACATCAAAACGGGTATAACGCACACAACAGGCAGAACAAGGAACATCGACTTCGACTATATTTACACTGTAACTTTGCATTCTAGCAACTGAAAGGCCTACAGTTATAGCAGATGCGATCGCACTGACCATATGAGACGACTTTGAAAGACTTATAACGAGAACACTAGGCAAATAAAGATACTTCGACAACATCATTCCGCACACTGTATCTCTGTATTATATCATCTCACATGGATACCTTTGGAACATATGAGTTCGCAACTATTATATAA